GTTCCCGGACGTGTGGAAGGCCGCGCGAGCCGCGTCAGTCAATTATTTAACTTTTTGCGACATTTGTATTGTAAAGATTTTGCACTTTGACCGTTATAGTTGTAATACACAAATCTGGTGATATCCCTGACTGATGTATCAATGCAAGTAGCGATGCTGTCCGGGCGACGTCGATGTACCTGTTTTTACTTTGTGTGAGCGTGTTTTGTATTTTTAAAGAGTATGGTTTTATTTCAATTTTAATATTTATCTGTTTGTTGTTTTGGTGCCTATAGTACTGAGTGAAAATGTACACCTGTAATGGATATGTCAGTTAGTCAGTATTACACGCTAGAGTTCCGTTTGTATATTTCGTATTTGACCAAACTATATGAGCGATAGTTTATGATATATATTTTTACAACACGACTTGAATATGAAAATGTCATTGTGATGTGTATATTTTTGGTGATAAAAAGTAATTTTATAATGAAGTAAATTGTAAACTTTACACGCTCCTCCTTCACTTTTGTGAGGGATGATAATGCGTCAATTTTACTGACAGTTATCAGGTAATGATAAGCGAATGTTGGCGATGTCGCCTCGTCTTAAATAGGTGATAGGTTAGTATTTAAGCTGTGGATGGCTTAAGTGTAAGAGCGGTGGAGGCCGACATGCCTACAGAATGGTGGCCGTGGATTGGATGGATGGAGTAAGCTCGAAGAGAGTCATGTCTTGGTGGAATGCTGTCGATCCTCAAGGCAGTTATTGGTGGTGAGATCACTTGAGGAGTATAAAAGCAAATATGCATCAGCCCTTCTTTATACTAAGTGTACCAAATTGTAGAAAACGTAATAAGCTAAAGACTTAGTATGATTAGTTTAAAAAATGAAAAATGCGTATATGCTTCTACACCCTCAGTTACTGTGTGGTGATCTGTGCGCTATTTATTAGCCAAATTACTAGAAAGAATGTTATGTCGATGCTTTAGGTCTCAAGTGCTCAGGTGTTCAAATGTGTTTATTTTTGTATAGAAAGGTATTTATTTATTTTTATTTTTCGTGGAGACGAGTTTAGTTCGATTCGATTTTTAGTACATTATAGCGAATAGTAGATGTAAGTGTAAGGCACGGATTGAGATCCTGCGTTTTAGGAGGGTCTGGTGAATAGTGCTGCTGTGTCCCAAAGAATGTTATACACGTATAGACGATTTAGTATTGGAAAGGGTCCGAACACTGTATTTACATTTCTGTATGCAATGTCACACGCGTGGGATCTGACAAGTTATTATTGATTCTAGAAACTATGGAAATGTTCGAAGTTTCGAGAAACGTGTACCAACTGTTTAGGAAAATATTGCTTCTGATAGAGATCGATCCGTTCATGCGATACGATTATTCCAGAAATATCTAGCGAAAATTGTATTGAACTCGAAACTAGTTCATTTCAGTCGCGAGACTTTCAATCGGTGTCATCACACTCTTATAAAAATTAGGCATAATAATTGTTTTTTTGGATCGGTGTAATATGGATGTTAGGAATAGACTTGGGGTTGGCAGTAAGCGGCTCGAACGGTTCGCTTGACACAATTTGTTGGTTCTCTTGGAAGTTTAATATATTTGTTGTGAGATTACAATGTTGAATGTATTTCTTTTTCGGTGTCGAGGAACGTTCCGGCCGCTGCGGGCGGCGGCGAGTGGACATAATGGACTCGAATTTTGTGTAGTAAATACAATTAGTATTTTATAAGTAAACGAAACATCACTGCCATGTATGACCTTACTGTTTATATTGTAATATTACATTTTTTTATTAAATAATTAAGTACGGACGTATTTTTCATTTAATTGTTTCATTCATAGGTATCCCATCCTTTTCCCTTCTATTACACTCTTTATGACTACGGCCGAAAACTGATTCTAATTTTAAACCGATTGCTTCTAAACCGCAGTTTTCAATCCGTTATGCCTCAAAAGGTTGATGGAATTTGGAATTTAATCGTGATAATTAAGATATTGGTACATGTTTAAATGTCGTATCAGTATCCGGCCGTTAGTACTTTGAGCGAGAGAGATAACTTATATTGTAAAATGACTCATCGGCGATAAAAGCGTAAAATTAAAATAAAACATTCGTATCAAAATAGTTATTGACCTTTATTTCATAAACATAATTTGCATATTTGTATAAACTAGCCTAAGGTTCAACTTTGTGCTTATCACATACTATTTTTTTTTAATTTAGTCACATTGAATTAGCGATTACAATAAAAGTTTTGTTAAAGCATTTAAAATGACACAATTGTTTAGACGTAACTATAATTGTAGGAAGATAGAGGCTTTCTAAAGAATAAGCAGTCTTAAGTATTACTAAAAAAAAAAACTTAATTTGTGATGTCTTATAATCTAGTATAAACATATGTTTCTATATATTGGATTTAAATATTAAGTAAGCTTTATTAGCACCTATTCGTTTCAAACCTAACTGTAAATCTGCCGCTCTCAAAGTAATTTAATGATTACTTAAAAGTCAATCAGTAGTTATTACACAAAAGGGAATGTTCCCTACCGTCACCCGGCTCCGCCCCCACGTGAGAATAAAAAGTTACATATGTCCCTCTATCACGAATAAGGTGACAGTTGGAACCGTTATGAAATAAAATATAAGTTCGAACCGTCCCCTCGTCGCAAAAGGTGGGACGCATGAAACTTATTATTCTCACCTGTCTCCACGTGGGGACAGAGCAGGGTGTCCGTTGGGAACAATTCCACAGAAGGTTCCTTAGCCATCTCTTAATTATTCTGAGTAAAACGACAATGTTAATTCATACAGAGAGCTTTATAACGGGGCATTGCCAGCTGATCAAAGGGTGCAAGAAGATTTTTTTCCAAAGAAACTTTTTAGTGAAATATTGACAAGTTTCTAAGTTTAGAGATTATAGGTATTTTAGTATTTTGATATTTTTAAAATCTCTAGGGCTTTCCCCTCGCCCTGCACCCGCATTGGCGACGTCAATCCTTTCATTACATTTTAATAAAAAAAATATTTTAGAATGAATTCATCAAATATTAAAAAAAATATACATATAGCTGACAATAATCTGTTTACAGCAAAATAAAGAATTTGGTATAAAATTGCACAGCAATATTTAAAGCTTACATAAACCCTAAAATCATCGGGTACATAGGTTATTTCTCAATTCCTGCGTTACTCGCGATTTAAAAAAAAATTCGAAAACATATTAAATTTAGCAACTATTTTCTAACTTAATTCAGATACATTTTTAATATTTTTCGTAATAACGTATACGTCGATATATGCACAAATTAAATTAATATTCTTTACATGTGTAAAGCGCGTTGCTCTATAAAAATCTATTAGCTTAAAAACTGTTACCAAACAGCCTTTATGTTCATTGTGACATAACAATTCAACAATTCCTTTACAATTCTTAATTGCAGTAAATCGATATTTTATTCAACATTTTTGAGAAGACATAGGTACTTATAACATTCATAATAAATGTAAAAAAACATTTTGTTTCCGAAGTTTTTTTTGTTAGGGAAGAATTCAGATATGGAAGAATATTTTTGTACATGTATGACTTTTTTTGGCAACACTTATTATTTTAAAAATTCATATTTCAACAAATTTACTTTTGTTAACTAATGGTGCAAATAACAGGGGTACAGGAATTATCGTCTATCTTAAAAATACATCGAACGTGAGCAAACAATAACAATTACAAAAGAGTATAAATGTCTTTGTTTTTTTAACAATCAATGTAAAAACACGGTAGTACATACGTAGTAAGCATTACATTAAGTAATTGAAGGCACTACAATGTGCTACTAAATGCAGTTTATTGTTATAAAGTGATAAAATATTTTTTCTTCTCGTCGTGTATTAATAGTAAGCTGTGTGACTAAAATGTGCACTTATTATAAACTAGTCACGTAATTAATTTATTATTGTGACAAGCGATGATAACAGGGGGCGGGGTACAGCGTTCTGGAGGCGGGGTAAAGTGCTCAGAAGACGGGGAAGTGTTCAGGGGGGGAGCATTCAGAGGAAAGGGTAAAGTACCGAAACGGAGTATAGCGCTTTTAGTCGGCGAGGTACAGTGTGCTGTGGGCGGGGTACAGTGCCTGGGGGCGGGGTACAGCGCTCAGGGGGCGGGTACAGTGCTCAAAGCGGTTTGTAGCATTTTGGGGGTGGGGTACAGCGTTCAGAGGGCGGGGTGCAGTGCTTAAAGCGGGG